ATCAGTGTGTGTACAGAGTACAAAAAAGAGAAGAAGAAGTGTTTTTCGTCCTCCACTTCACCCTCTTGCGTAGATCTGCTTCAGTTTGGAATTTGCCTCATGCAAACTCCCTCCAAGGCTGCGTCTTCCTCCCCGTCGCCCTGCCCTCTATCAGCATCATCAACGCTGGCACGGACTCTGACAAAACAGCGCACGACTTCCTGCAGTTGAGATCGTTTGTTTGATACACTCCATTTCTCCTCAGCTGTTTCTTCATTCCAGATGAGGGGAGATGGGTCAGTTTTCACTGAGCACATCGACCGTCATCTGGCTCTAATCAGGGGCAGCAAGTGTTTTTACAAAGTCTATTTTTGAGCAGACATCATTCATCATCTGCTTTTTAAGTTTGTTTATGTTAATCTGTCTGATGAAAAAATTACCCTAATATTTGTTGCTCTGGGGGATTTATAGCTTGTCTGTGGCGCTTGAACATAAGTTTTCCCATCCTGATGATGATACCGTAAATTTCCCACAGGGACCTCAGTGCTCAAAACTGAGATCATGCTGGATTTATTATATGTTCTCCTACTGGTGAGATTCTTTCACTTTTTTGCCCTTGCTGTGCTCATGTAAGCCGCTGTCTGGTTGCGGGATGGACAGTACTACGAAAATACTGTACACACCAAATGAAAATGAGGATGCTTTGAAATGCATCTATATCTGTTTTTCATATTTATTAAGAAAACAAAAAATGAATGGGCATCTACACACAGTAGGATTTCAGTTAATGTCATTTGAACATCATAGAAACAGTTGGTACTATTAAAGGAAAAATAGTCCCTTGGTGGAAGGGAAGTATATGCAGAATTACATCTTAGATGTGACAGAAATATCCTACAACTTAAATATGATAACAGATGAAATTATCCGGTCTTTAAGTGATGATGTTTGAACCCTGCTTACGGGTCCAAACTAGTCTGTGTTATTAAGGCTGTTGTGTTTTTAACATGGTTTAATGCTTTGTATTTTGTTCTATTTAATCTGAACAACCCCCTATCAAAAACGACGTGATCACCGTCGGCCTCTCTCGGTTTTTATTACCACTATTCATTTTAAAGCTTGGTTTTTAAAACCTTACATTGTAACTACAGCCCAGCCCATACAGACTTTATTAATGGCTAACTTCGTAATGTGGATTATCTCAGTTGTTTGTTCTCCTGACTGAAGTGTGGTCCATTTACAGCAGCCTGCTATGCGATTGCATTTGTCACTAACCATTGGGAACCCTCATGTTAACTTCAGATTCACTGTGTTTATGTTATGCTAACATAGCTGTGTAGCTAGCCACCACGTAGCACATCATTATATACCAGCTAGCCCAACTTCAGTAACCCTACAAACATCACTGATGTTTAGTTTTCTGTCTTCATTTATGTCGGAAGTGATAGCAGAGCTGAATGTTTCAATTTTTTCTCAAATCTCTCAGTAAGAACGTGGTATATTATGTTTGGGTGGAAACTAGCGAGTTAACTTCCCGCTAACTTCTAAAGCTGTTAAATTTCCTAAATTCTGTTTTCATGGATGCCTGGATGTTAAACTTAATTGTTACACCTGGCAAAGCAGCCACACTGATCATTTTGTTAAAAATGAAATAATTTAGACAATTTGTAACTCTCAGTGTTTGTTTGACTTTGGGACCTGAAGTGGTGTTTGAACCCGGACATGGCTAATGACATCAGACTTAAAGATCGGATAACTGTTGTAGATAAAGAGAAAAACAAATTCAGAGTAAAGACATTTCAACACAAGAAGAGACTCTGTGAAAGTACAAGACTTTTGTGACTCCAATGTCTGCTAACGATCAACGGTCAGCTACAAAACGATGCATGACGAGCAACACACGTAACCACCTAAAGCTCCTTTGATTGCTCTGATATTCCCACTCTTAATTTGACTTACAGATTTTTTTTTTCAGTAACATTTGAATTTTGCTGTTATTTTTGTTAAAGTTAGCAGTGATTCTAGCACATCTTGCCAACCAAGCTAGCTATTGTTTGCTAAAAACAAAGCAATCCATGCTCTCTTCCAAATATGAAATATGTTGATCTTTGGTCTTTTGGTGCTTATAAACTAATATCTGTTGATTTAATTAAAGAATTTGTATTATTTCTTGTATTAGATAACCTCTTCATTAGTATCGTGTTTTTTAGTATAGAGATTGTCCTGTGCGTCTATATTACGGTGAGGGTCACTTACAGATATTTTTTACTGCTCTTGCTTTTGGTGTCTCATACGTCCAGACAACTTCAGGAAATGTGAAGGACAATATAGATTTGGACTTTTTGAGAGTATTTTCAAGTTTTAACAAGTTCTCATTTGCCATTCATACTAAACCAAAGTAATACCTCACATATAAAAAATTAAATGACAGGAAAATTATTGTGAGCTTGCAGTAAAAAAATTAAAAGAAAACTATTTTAGAATTCCAAGGCAATCTGGGAAATGAACTAACATTACTTTTTCTGTAGCTTTGCACATTTATCATTATCACCTCTCCAGCCCATTTAAGATCAAAGTGGGCCCTATATGTCGCCCACAATGTAAAATGTGATTATGGAAAAACCTACATTAACCATAATCTAACAGTATGCTGTTTCCTGTTTTCTGGTATGAAGTGAGATTATTTAAGGAAATTTTCTATACTTGACAAAAGAGCCAAATGAGGCACTTTCATGAGCTGATTTGAAACATAGGTTGAGTGTTCTTATAATGTTGTCTTATATATCTGTCACGGTCTGGCTGGGGCAGACCGTATGTGTTGCAGAGGAGGACTCAAACGCAGACCAAAACGTGGTATGGGTTAACAAAACAAGCCGTTTATTGAGACTAACAATAAGGGTACAAATTAAAAGGGCATAGTAGACAACTAAACAAAAACCTAAACTGGGTGAACTAATAACAAAACATGAAAAACCTTAACCATAAACGAACTGACATGGGTACCTGGAAATGAGACATGGATGGGCAGTACAATGGGTGAAATACAACAGACCAGTACAACGGACGACCTGACAACGAATGACTGAAGGCACACGGACTAAATAGACACAGGAGGATAATCAGGAAAGTGGCAACACATGGGGAACCAGCAGACACACATGAACATAACGACGTGACACTGGGAGAGTAAAACTGAACACGATGAACACAGACACACCAGACCTCTTCACAATAAGACAGGAAACACAGTGAGATATAAACATGACAACCTGAACTGACAACATAAGCCACAGACATGAAATACATGGAAAGCAGGGGAGACTTAACAAAGTGGAAACACGAGGGGGAAAATAACTAGAAACACCTAGGCATGATAGACTTAACATAGTGGGAACACGAGGGGTAAAATTAACTGGAAACAACTAGGCATGATAACGATAAACTTAGGAAACCTGAGGGCTACATAACTAAACACAAAACGCTGGGTCAACGGACCCAGGATCATGACAATATCAACCATAGTATGTGTAATATTTTGTCATAAAGCCGTCCTTACGCTGATTCAGTTCTGTACTTTCAAATGTCTTTCTTTTCTAAATCACTGTTTCATGAAAGTAAACTGAATGTCCATAGCAACCATTACTGAATATTACACAGGTTGAGGTTCCTGTTTCCGGGGACTGGAAGATACCGCTAACCTCATGTCTCTGCTGCTTGTGGGAGGGCATCTCCATGCTGTTCTGTTAACTGTTTACCCATTTACCTTCTCTCTCCGGCCTGCAAGCCATCTGTCAGCTCTGTGTATGCATACTTGTGATTGTGTATGTGCGTCTGAGAGAACGAGAGAGGGAAGGAGTAGCTATTCTTGTTTTAGTCCAGTGTAACAAGCAAGAAGGGATTGTCCCGGGACACCTTAATGTGTAAAAGGCGGGCATTCATGGGTTCATTAAGGGAGTTTCTCCCACTTAAGGTGCTGCACACACACACACACACACACACACACACACACACACACACACACACACACACACACACACACACACATACCCTCTCCGACATGTGTTGCGAATTTGTCAGACAGACAGACTTGGAGTCAGTTCGAGGAGGGAATTCCTTCATCTGCACGCTCCTTCAAGCAGCACATGTGCTCAGCATCTGGTCCACACACTCACACACACATATCCAACACACACGTAAGCAGAGGCAGTGAGTGTGAGAAGGGATAACGATAAACACTGATCAAAAAACAAGAAAAACGTTTTTTCAGGCATTCCACAGTCTCTCCCCTAAGTGTTGTCCTTCTAACCTCCCATCACAGTCAGAAAAGCGCCTCTAAAGAGCTGCCGGAGTGTGTGTGTGTGTCTGTGTGTGTGTGCGCGCCCCTGCGTGCATGTATGTGAGTGTGTGTGTGGCGTCTCAAGGTTAAGAGGCCGACTGATCTGATGCTGCTCTTTTATGTACTGTCGAAGCCATATCCTCCATTCAGTGATGAGTGATTCACCCGCTCTTGACGTCTCAAAGGGGATGCGCATATGCCACTCTCTGCTTTGAAGGCTGATTGTGCGAAGGTACATGCAAATATAACCGTGTGTTTGTCAGGCTCGCAAACATCGCGTGGATGCTTTGCTCCATGTGCAAGCACAAACAGGCACAGCACTATGTGTGTGTGTCTCAGTGTCAGTGTGTAAGCATGTGTGCGTTTTTCAAACTTTTCTGGACTTTCAGTTGCAGTCCACAGAGCGCTGGAATGAAAGCATATTGTTTGCCAGAACACATGCATTGCAGCCATGTCTAAAAGGAAGAATGTAAATGTGGTTCAGAACCTTACGATGATTAATCACCACTTGCCCTGTGAGGGGTGGGAAGTGTTTAATACATGCAAAATATAATTGGCTACATAATAATGTTTTCCCATTTTTCTGTTTTAATTCCCAGCGTGATCGAGCACGTCCTGCAGAAACAGCAACAGCATTTGTCGCAGCTCTATTCACACATGCTTCCATTCTTTCTGTATGTTCCAGGATGCTGGAGTACTCGCTCAACCTGCAGAACGTCAGCTTTTCAGCAGTGAGGACAGTTCGTGTGCTGAGGCCGCTGAGAGCCATCAACCGAGTGCCAAGTGAGTGTAGATCTCTGCTCACAAGCCACATCCCAGACCCTCATACACTCCGTCCTTTTGCAATTTTAGGCTTCCTCTCCTTGTTTTCCAAAAGTCAGGTCAGGTTGCCCAACTTTTAGTCTGGGAATAGCTTTAGGCCAATTTCAGTTATTATTAAAAAGTAGATGGTGGCGGTGCAAGCGCAGGGTGAGAACACAGGTAATCTTCCAGTCTGTGAGGTTCAAGCGGCTGTGCTCTGACAAAAATATCACACAGACAGTATGGAAACATTCAAAAACACATTCAGCACACTAATTGTTTTGCTTCCTTTGATTTCTCAGTATCGCTCCTTTCATTGGGCCAAAACAGTCAGGTCCAATTTTAAATGCGCTTGGCATTTTTCTTTTTTCTTTCTTTTTTTTTTTTTTTTTTTTTTTAAATTGCATGCAAAAGCAGGAACCCATGTGTGCAACAGACACCATATCATAGTTTGACCAAGCAGCCAACCAACCTGCAGGGCTGAAAAATGAAGCCGGCATGGAAAAGCGCCAATGGCCACTTGAGGCTGGCTCCAAGAGTGACTAAATCCCCACAGTCTTTCATGTTAAAATGGCTAACTTCTGCTAAGAAATTAGCCTAATGCCAACAAAAAAATTGCTCATGTGTTGTTTTGATCTCTATAATAACCACATAGCAGTATTTTTTTTTACATTCACTCCTTAGGCTCTTGTTTGCTATTAGCTGTTTTTCAGTATGCTTCAAATCAAGAGAGCAAAAACAGCAAAGAGTGATCTTTGTATTTTTTTTTAATTCACCTCTTTCAATCTTGTTGAGGCTAAAGTTGAAGTTAAAGTTGTTTTAGCAGACTTGATGCTTAGCAGACAGCTAAAATCAAGTCACTAAGTCGGACCACTCAGTTGTGTTCTCTTGATTCCCCTTGAAGCATGCTGAAAAACAGCTAACAACTATCCTGTGCATTAAAATTAGTATCCCTTTTGCCCTGACCCTGTCTCCCCTCACCCTAAGCTGTTGCAGCAGATGGTTGCCTTTCCCTGAGCCTGATTCTTCCAGGTTTCTTCCTGTTAAAAGGGAGTTTTTCCTTCCTACCATCGCCAAGTGTTTGCTCATAAGTGGTTGTCTGACTGTTGGGGTTTTCTCTGCATTATAGTAGAGTCTGTACATTATAGTAAAATAAATAAAACTGATTTGAACTGATGCTGAGGAGTCTTGTAAATAGAAATCAAAAGGCACATCCAAAAATGGATACTGCTTGCTTCCCAATGGCCAGCAAGCAGTATTTTGGTTCTCGTGATGAACTAGGCTTGATAGCCAAAGATATTAGCCATATGGTTTTATCTTATCTTATATCTTATATTGGGTCTATTTGCCTGTAATGTTGCTTGCTATAATTGTTGGTCATGCAGGTTCAGTTCCTCCACAATAGCGGTATGTAGGTCAGAGGCAAGTTGATCCACGGTTGGACACCTTCAGCGTCTCTGTGTTTTGCTATTCTCCCCATCCAAACAGTTTTGGTCTCTGACAGATTTATAAGCAATTTTCCAATTCACCAACTTCTATTAAAGGACTGTAGTTCATAGCGACACTCACAGACTGACTGTCACACTTGTTCATTACCCTCCACGAATCCCTCAGTCACTCGCCCTGTCTCGCATCCTCGCCCATCTCATACTTACTCTCACACCCTCCCCCAGAAAGAGTGCCCCCTGTTCCCTTCCCCTTCTATTCCATCGGTCTTCATTACTGTTTAATCAGTGCAGATTGAATTTCCAGTGCACACATTAAGGTTTAAATAAATCATAAGGATTTCTATAGTACCCCAGCAGTCCACTTGGTGCCTTCCTTCTTAACTTGATATCAGCACCTGCAATGCTTTCATTTTAGATACAGATCCTAATTATGTCATTGGCTTCTCTCAGAATCATTTCATCGCAATGTGTTTGAGTGTATGTGCGTGCAGGTGTTTACCCCATGTGGGTGCATGAATGGGATATCAACCCCCTTCCTCACCCATTCCCCCAGCCGATGACACTCTTAAGCCCCTTGTATAATCTCACTCTCTTGTCAATCAAAGCCATTGCGGGGGGTTCACCCTTGCTCATTACCCCTCATATGCAACACACACACACTAAGAGAGTGCACAGTTACTCACACTGACTCGCTCATTAGGCATCCAACCATCCCTCACCCTAATCATGGAACTAATAGTGGCATTCATGTGCAAATGATTTGGTCTGACTCTGGCCCTGTGGGGAAAATGTCATTGGGTAGATTTGTACTGGTGGTAGTGATGGGGCGGGTGGTGGGGGGGATGCCTTTGGTGTGGCTTCTATCTGTCTTCTGCCCCCGTTTTAGCTTTTTTGCTGTCTAATCAGATCCTGTGGAGAAACTTGCAGCATTCATCATGACTCTGGGTGGGGATGTTTGTTGTGTAGCTCGGGCTATTTGGAGGTAAACTGAATTGAATCTGAACACGTGGGTTCTCCAGTTTTTTAATGTTGGCCATTCATGTCCTAGATGATAGAGAGGTTTTAGAGTATGAGGCTTTTTCCCATTTCTGTTTTTCCCCTGTTTCATTAGTCTACAGTGATACAAAGGCCAAAGCTGCAGTTTGACATTTGAAAGTTCACCAAGTTGATAAAAGAATTTGACTTGCCTAATTGGCGCATTTGCCACATTTTAAAAGAGGTGATGTGGCTTTGAGTCATACATGCAAAAGCAGCTCTGTCCACATAATTAATTATATAATTTATTATTGATATACAGTGCTCAAGCATATTAAAGAAACGCTTAGAAAAGTCATCAGATCATGCTGGATATCAATACTTATACAGCCTGGGTAAGGTGTTAGGAGTGAAAGGATACCAAACTGTTTGATGGAGATTGGTATTATCGTTAAGGCTGAAGTCAAAGACTCCCTGAAAATCAAAGCGCAAATATGATGAAGCAGGCCGGTAAGTTCTGCTGGAATTTCATTGCATCAACTAAAAATAGTACTCAGTAGTTTGTATGGCCACCACCTGCTTGTTTGAATGCCTGGCAATGTTGGGCAATGTTCCTAACGAGATGACGTACTGGGGAAACCCCCCAGATCTGGACCAGGGCATCACTGAGTTCGTGGATAGTTTGAAGTGCAGCCTGGTAGCTTCAGATGGACTGGATAATATCTCAGGAGTGTTCTCTTAGATTTAGGTCAGGAGAGCGTGGGACAGGTTAAAGGTATCAGTTCCTTCATCCTCCAGGAGCTGCCTGCGTACTCTTGCCACATGAGGACGAGTACAGTCATGAACCAGGAGGAAGCCAGGACCCACTGCCCTAGCATCAGACCTGACAGTTGGTGCAGGGATTTTATTCTGATATCTAATGGCAGACCATCACTGACCTACCACCAAACTGCTCACTGTGACTAACGTTACAGGCAGCATAATGTTGTTCATGGCTTCCCCAGACCCTTTCATGTCTGTCACATGTGCTCCGGGTAAGCAGATGTGACAGGTCCAACACGTGGACCTGCTAATTCTGATATTCTATCACGAATGCCAATCAGGATATATGATGCCGAACAGCAAGCAAAGGTCCCACTAGAGAATGTAGGGCCCTCGAGCCACCCTCTTGAAGTCTTTTTCTGATTGTTTACACCAATGACCTGCTGGAGAACATTTTTGTAGTGCTCTACAAAAGAATAGATACCAGTCCTGCTGATGGGTTAAGGACTTGTCCAGCTCTCCTAGAGTAACTGTGTCTCTCCTGGAATATTTTTCATGCTATTGAGACTGTGCTGGGAAACATAGGAAACCTGCCAATAGCATGTATTGTGATAACACCCTGGAGGAGTTGGACTACCTATGCAACCTCTGCAGGCTCCCAGTATCTCCTCATGTTACCAGTAGTGACAGTGACCATAGCCACATGCAAAATTAGTAAAAAAAAAAAAAAAAAAGCAGTCAGAAAAGAGGGAAAAAAAGTAATCTGCCTTAACCTGTGAAATCATTCATATTTGGGGGATTGGTGCTAATTTCATTAACACCAAAGCAGACACCAACACCAAATATCTTGTCTAAATATGGTATCTGATATTTTGTTCTGATTTTACTATCTTATTTGGGAGGGGAGACAAGTGGTATATTTGACTTACTGGCAGGCAATTATTTTATTATATTTTTAAGTCACTTAACACTTGCCTAAGAATCACTAAAGTATAAAATGGCACCTTACTTAAGGGATGAATCATTTTTGTGTCTATACATAATAAACAACTTAGCAGCGACCCCATTTTAAATAGCATCTGCAGGCACTTTGTTGCTAGAAGCAACACAATTTGTTCCCATTTCTTTAGCTGAATCTATGAAAAATGCCAAGGATAACACAGTTGGACAAGCATGAAATAGTGTTCTTGCACCAACAAGGTGATTCCCAAAGAGCTATTAGCTGAAAACTTGGTACAGTATATCTCAGCATGGAATATAGTGTGTTTTTAGAAATTTGAGGAAATTGCCCTTCTTTTTCTGGGGCACAAAAGAAGAAGTGGCAAAAACTATCTATAAAAGATGAATGGTATCTGAAAGTCATTTCCATAAGAAATAGGAACAAATCCATCAAAGACCTGACACAGGATCTCAGAGATGCAAATGGGACTTCAGTTGAGCCACCTACTGTTCAGTGTGGTGTCATCAAAAATGGTCGCAGTAGAAGGGTGGCTGTCAAGAAGCCATTGTTCAAAAGCTTCAGGAAGCCCGGAGAACTTCCTGAAGTCTACTTAAAGAAATTGAACGAAAACTTGTATCAGAGAGTTCAGGCTGTGTTGAGCTACAAAGATGGTCATACTAAATATTGACTTACAAACTCTTGTGTTGTACAAACTCGGACATTTCAGTAAATTAATCTTTTTCCCACTTGCCTAATGAAACACAAAGAAATACTGGGTGACTTAAGACTTATGGACAGTACTTTACATGAATGAAGTTAACGGTGATTCAGTGCTTCCAGAGACAAAAGAGAGATGT